CCCCAAAACCCCAAAACCCCAAAACCCCAAAACCCCAAAACCCCAAAACCCCTATGGATGCAGCTTCTAGTGAAACTACTATAATTTTAAAAAGATCCAAAACAAAATGGAAGATTATGGCGATACAAGTGGAGGGGGTGAAGGCAGCGGCAGCGCAGAAAGATTTGATGATCGTCCACTCAACGGACTTGGAGGGTATGGAGATGAAGATTACTCTGATGTCAAGTCCTTGGTAGCCCAGAATAAAGGGCAAAATCAACAGCAGGTCGAGAATTTCAACCAATTTCCAGAGATAACTCCAGAGACAGTCACGAAATTACAAGGGCTTGGTATTTCTTACTTGTTTCCGATCCAAGCAGAGTGATTCAGACCTATTTATTCAGGAAAAGATGTTATTGGCAGAGACCTAACTGGCTCAGGAAAGACCTTAGCCTTCTGTGTTCCGCTAGTGGAAAAATTCAGGAAGGAAGGACTCATAGGCTCAGGAAAGAGCTCTCTAAAGGCGATCATACTAGCACCTACGAGAGAGCTAGCTCTACAAGTCTCAAAGGTTCTGAAGTGTCTCAGGCACCACGGTGATGAATTTAGAGTGATAACTGTCTACGGTGGCGTTCCAATCCATGTCCAAACCAAAGAGCTTCAGAGTGGGGTTGATTTCTTTGTAGGCACCACCGGTAGAGTCATGGACCATATTAGAAGAGGAAACATCAACTTCACCGCTATGAGAGCTGTCGTGCTTGACGAAGCTGATCAAATGCTCAACATGGGATTTGCTGAAGACATTGAGACAATCATGAAATCTTTGAAGGAGAAGACAAATACCAAGCAACAGTTTATATTGTTCTCAGCAACGATCCCAGACTGGTTCAAGAACACTGCTGAGAACTATATGGAAGAAGACTACTTGTATATAAACCTTGCAGAGAATCTGAAGAACAAGACTCCAAGGAATGTTACTCATATCTTAGTGAGAATTCCTTCGTCCCAAAGAGAAGAAATTCTTGCAAAAGTAATGGCAAGATATCTCGAGAACGACAAATCAAAGGCAATCGTGTTTACAACTACTAAGAATGATGCAAGAGAGATCTCCCAGTCAAGTGTGTTTGGAGGCAAAGCAGAAGCTCTGCACGGAGATGTCCCTCAAAGATCAAGAGAGTTTGTGCTGAAGAGGTTCAGACAGGGAAGAACCAGCGTTCTTGTAGCAACAGATGTTGCTTCTAGAGGTCTAGACATCCCAAGAGTTGATCTTATCGTTCAAATTGAGCCTCCAAGGGATCCAGAGCAGTACATTCATAGATCTGGCAGAACCGCAAGAGCTGGCAATGCTGGAGTATGAGTAACCTTTTGTGATTCTAGGGATGAACAATGGATTGAAAAGATCATTGACCAAGCAGGAATCGATTTTAAAGAACTAGATTGGGAAAATAATACAGACCATTTTCCTAGTCACAACAGTATGGATGGAGGCTCAAGCGGATCAAGAAGCTTGCTTATAGGTGTTCCTGGGTTCATCACTTATCAAGTTGCCGGACTTTTTGCTAACAAAGGGGACGCTTACAACAAATGTATTGAAGTTTTTGGAAGACCTTTGACTGATAGTTTTAAAAATACAACCCCGATTGACCATCCGAATGCAATCATCTTCGATATTATAGAGGCGAAAGAACAAGAGATGGTAGATGCCTACGAGAGGGCTAGAAGAGAAGGCCCAGTAGGATTTGAACTAGAGAAGGTTGTATCTTTGCCCACTGGAAAGTAATCTGTGAAGAGATTTATTTGGATTTTGATAAATGTTCTTACTCAATTTTGCATCAGGAGAAGGGGTTTTGGGGTTTTGGGGTTTTGGGGTTTTGGGGTTTTGGGG